TATTAATTAATTTAATTAATATCATCGAATTCTACGTAAAATTCTCTATAAAATTGATATATCACATGTTGACATTTTATATAAAATATTTCCCGATTAAAGTGGTCACTGTGGCCAAACCAGAGGTCACAGGACAATATAAGTTACATATTCGGATTCAACATTGAATGACTTTCATATCCAATCAAAAAATCCTGATTGCCAGCTTAGCAGGATCCTGACAGTCTTCTTTTGCCAAGCATGTTAAACTACAATATTCTTGGTTATTGTAATAAGTTGAAAAATATTACCGGTATATAAAATTATTTTTATTTTATAATATCTTTTTTGTAATTATTTATTTAAGTAAATATAATTTAAGTTTAAAAATTACTTGATCAAAAATTCAATTTAATTAAATAACCTCTGGACATAAGCTATTATCAGAGCTCCTATCGGTTGTGAGTTTTAACCAAAAATAGAGATTTCTTCACGCATAATAGATTTTACAAAAGTTTTTATATGAAACATGAAATACTGTTTAATGTATAAAAATAATTTTAATATTTTAAAATATGGTTATAATTTGTGAACCAAATTAACTAAATAGTTAAAATTAATTAGCTTAATTGTGAACTAAATTAACTAAATAGTGAACTTAATTAATTAAATTGTGAGCCTATTTTCTAAAATTATAACCACACTTTAAAACATTAAAATTATTTGTACATTATTTATATCTGTCGTATGGTAATACTGTATTCAAACTGGTTTTTTGCTAAAACAATGTTTTCCATAATAGCCTTTTATGCGTGATTAGACTTTTGTTGCTCACAACGGATAGGAGCTTTGGCTATTATTTAAAAATAGGTTAATGTTATTTGATCCATGTGAACTCTAAGTTTTACAAAACAATTTCCAACTGAAACTATAATATAATAAATATGACAATTGGAAATGGTAGACCACCAAAAGTCAGATGTGAAACACATGGCTGACATTGTGGGTGAATGGGGCAAATGGCAATTGCACCTGGTCAGTTTTTGCTTCATTCTATGGGCAGTTGGCGCTATCAATAACATGGGATATAGTTTCCATGCTTATGATCATGATTTTTGGTGCAGTGATGTTCCTGACGATTATCCGGTAAAATATTTTTTATGAGCGAAAATAAAATAATAGTTTTGGCAAAATAGACGTATTGTTCAACTGCGCCGGTATGCCAGTAAAGTTTGTCGGCATTACTAATCCGTCATTTATGGAGGCCTTACTATGCGCGTGGACTTGGATATGGCTGTGTATATGACATACCTGTGCGTCGGGCACCTGAAGAAAACCCGAGGTGTCATCATTAATATGTCGAGCGTAAGGAGTACTCAATCGGTACTGTATTTCCCATACATTTAATTAGCACATCGTAAATAAGCACTAGTGTTGACGTACTTAATGAATAGGCCAGTCTGAGTGCGCCGTACGGTATGGCCAGGACTGCGGGCGATATGTTCACCAGATGTATGGCTGTTGTGTTGGGAGGGAAAGGCATTCGTGTGAATAGTGTTAAGTATGTTTCATACCCTCACAAACAGCAATACGATTACACAATCAATTCAATTCGTTTGAATCCATTTCCTCAGTCCGAGTGTTATCAAAACGGATTTCCTCAAATCGACAGGTGTTGACACGAAAGTCATAGCCAAAGGTATGGCCAATAAGTTGCCGGTCGGGAGGTGTGGTGTGGTTGAGGACGTGGCTCAGGCCGTCCTATTCCTGTCGGCTCCCGAGTCGTCGTTTATAACGGGAACTCATATGCTTGTGGACGGCGGACATATAGCTGCCGGTGTTGGCTATAATACTGCTAGGCCTCGGCTAATTCAAAATAATAATTTATCTTACCATGATGCTATATATTTGAGGATTTTTAACTTTTGCAAAATATAGTATACATGGCAAATACTTTGCCGTGTTAATATTAATGTAATGTTATACTACAATCATTAGGTATATTAACCCAGATTTATTAATAATTTTATGGTTTATGTATTTAAAATTTTTAATTTTTTATCACTTATAAATGTAGATTAAAAAAGTTTATAAACATGATTTAGTTTATTAAATAAATTTCTATGCGATAACATCGGTAACTGATTTGATGAGCAGATTATCTTTGATTTGTGTTTCCGTGACATTAGAGTTGGTCTCAAATACTATAGACTTTTTGCCGTCAAATATAAAGAATCCGTTTTCCATGAACTGACCGCTAATTCCGGACTTTAGCTTCAAATCCAACCAAACAAACGGCGCCACCGTTTCAGACGTAAGGCTTATAGTAAAACCACAACTACCTGTCCCACCGGCAACTGATCCCAGTCTCACATCAACCACTTTGATGTTTGGTTTTACTATTTTTGACGTTTTCGGCTCCGATAACAATAAGAAATTATTTGCCTTTATATGTGAATTAAAAAAGTATTTAGTATTTATGAAATTGAATTAAAATAACTTATTTGAACCTGTAACTTCTTGGCAGTATTTGTCACTTCAAAACTTAATACCCAATCACAGGTGCAGTCGTTTCCTTTGCATTTTGCCTCGTTTTGCAGGTCAGCAACGGATATGTTATACACTAATTGAGCCGAAAAGCTGCCACTTTTGACGATAGACTTGTGCTCATAGATTGGCTTATTTTGGGACCAGTCGTACACTTTGACAGAGAGGTCGAGCTCCAGTTCCCCGTAATAGTCGTCGCGAACTAACGCCGCCTATATTTGAAATCAAATGCTTTAGTCAAATGCTCCAAAAATATGACCTAGGCAAACTTGTAAATTTTAAATGAATCATTTACTTTAATGACTTTATTATCCAAATATGGGGT